TCCTTTAAATAAAATGTAAAACTCTACATTCTCTGTATAATATACGTGCACTCAAGCTATACTAATTTATTCTACAATTACTTTTATTTTTTAGCATTTGTATTTGGCTCTTATACTACATAAATAATGGTGTTTACATGGGATGATGTTTACATGAAAAGTTCTTTAACTAATATAAATGGCATAAGTGGATTACTGATCAAGCCTTAATACAAATAAACATTTTTCTCCTCTTAAAATTTTCTTTACTGTCCTCTGAATGTCTGGCACAGAGTGGAGTTTTTTAAATGTCAAGGGGAATATAGAAATCAGGCTTCTGAAGTCCATTCTCCTCTGGTTAGACAGGCTTATAATTCTGTTTCCTGTGATGCTTGGCCTGGGGGAGTCAACAGTGACCCTACTGACCCAACACATCCAGACTCAGAAGTCTGTCTTTTTTTGGGGAGGTTGCCACTGTTTTTCTTTATGACCTTAAACATAACACAATATCTGGCCCTTTACAGATCATTTCCTGCGAGTTTGCAGTACTGGAGATTAGACACTCCAGAGACAAATACATAAGGACCTCACTATAAGGACCAGGGGTAAAACCTACCAGGTTTCTAAACACCTCCATTGTCATGGTAACATCACCCAATTGTGGCAATTACTGGGACTGTCCCTCCTAGTCAAAGTTCAGAATGCATATATTTTGAATGGCAGCCGGGAGCCAGGTTACTGTAAAATACAGTTGGCAAGACAGTCACCACCTGTCAGGACACACATTATTTTTCTAAGGTATTCTCAAGGGTCAGCATTGACATCAGAAAAAAAAAAAAAGGCAATTTCTTTACTCCTGCTCTCTCAGAAGTAAAGCCAGGGGGTTGGAGTGAAGAGGCCTCCCTCCACAACACACCTCTAGCTCTTAGGTGGGGAAAGCCTGGCTCCAGGTCACCTCTGGAAGAACAGGCAACATGTTCTCTAAAGTACCCTTAGAGTTATCTCAGGAGCTGCAGGCCAGACTGTGTACCAGCAGGCTTTCTACAGAACAGTCACAGTCTCAGAACTGACCATAGAGCTGGCAGGGCGGGCGATCTAAGAGGAAAAATTCAACCCAGGTGAGTTCTGAACTGACATGCCAAAACACAAAGATCCTTGCACCAGTCCTGTCCAGATTCCCAGGGTTAGTTTGTGATTGGAGTCCAGGCCTTGAGGACTGGTCAAATGCTTACGACAAGCAAGCTTCGACTGAACAAACTGTGCAAGACTCATCACTATACTAAGACCTTTACATCACTTGTTACATGTTAAAATGTGTACATATTCCATATTTAATAATTTTGCTAACAAAGAACTTTATAATTTTGCTTATGAAATTATTTAACTAAAGTAACTAATTTAAAATAAGCTGTGATTTCTCAACACTCATCATATATATTTAGAAACTCTCACTCAAGAAGAACATCTCATTTAAAAACTGTTTTCAAATTTAATGAAATTGTTATGAACACTAAATCCAGCAATGAATGAAGTTGACTCAGTATTATATTTTGTGACCATTTAATAAATGCTTGTTAAGTCTGCTTTGTCAGTTTTCTTTTTCTTTTCTTTTTTGTGCCTTTTTTTTTTTTGAGACAATAATTTTTCCTTGTCAGACTCTAAGACATCTTCCCAAGCACAGCTCATATGCCAAGAATTGTGAGCCTGTACCTACAGGCTAAACTGGTCCTCTGTGCTCCTGGCATTCAGCCAAGCACTACCAAAGTGCTTGGGGTACTGACTACAGTGAGTTCCAGGCCATTTCATGGACATCAGCCCTCAACTACTAGTAAAACTATTATGTGGACACACTAAGTCTTGTGCTATCTCTGAACTTACTAATTAAACTCAAATTCTAAAAATTTGTGAATGTTTGGCACCTTAGAGAAATTTACCATATCCAATGCTAAAAGCCTTCACTGTTGGCCTTTGGTGAAGTCATTCTTCTCCTTCAGTGGATGAAATCAGGTTTCACAAATCCAATTTATTTTGTTTTTCAACAAGCAATGAGATCTGGAAGCTGACATGGAGTTGCATTTCTAGGACACCTTTCTGTTACTCCACAACATGTTAGTTATACATGCGCCACCAAGGTGTTTATAACTAGACCCAAGATAACTTCTTTACAAATATTCTATCAGCATCTGTAGGTGGAGTGTACTTAGTTGATTGACTTTTTCCACCCCTGAAAGATTAGTTCTTATCAGAGTGTATCAACTGAAAAATAGCCACAGGTAGTCTGTTGGTGGTCACAAAATCCCCTCTTTTGCTTTCAGCAAATGCCAAAGTGATAAAGTAAGAATTTGAAAACTCTACTTTCTAGATGTGTCCTCTAACAATGTCACATAAACAATGTGGTTTGTTTAGGGGATTCACTTCTGACCTTGGTTTGTTTTGTGTCTTTTTTTTTTTTTCATCACTGAAAACATATTGAGTGTATAGTGGTAAACTCATGGATACTGGCATCAGACAGCATGAAATGGAATCCCAACTCTGGCAATTCCTCGCTCTGAGAACAGGGCAAGTTATTAAGCCTCCATTTCTTCATCTGTAAAATGGCACTAAGAATACTTAATAGAATTGTTCTCCAGATTAGCAAGTTAATGAATGTAAAGCTGTTGCTGAGCAATCAATAAATGTTAACTTTGAATATTACTCTTATTATTCATCATTTTCTCACTATTTATAGTACTACCATTCAAGCCACCACACCTACACCCTGGCTACTTAGCCACCTCCTGCCTTCCCTGCTTGTACTCTGCTCTCACCTACCCCATTGCCTTCTCAAAGTTGAGGATCCTTCAGAGTGGAGACGTAACTGGACAACCAATGGGTCAGTGTGCCTGTCACTATTTGAGCCAATTAAGCAGAGACAGGGTTGAATCATATATGAGTGTTAATTCCAGTACTGCTGGCAGTAAGGGAGAGGAGCAGGTCATCCACAAAAAATCTGCTCTGCAACCGCCCATCAGTCAGCTGCTTATATTGGGTAGGACAAAGACTACATGGGGAAATAGGAATTACCGGCATGGAAAAGTAGGCAATGCAGGCTGGGGCGGGCTCTAGTGTTTGGAAAACAAGGTTGTTAATCTTTCCATGATAATAGGCAGTTCTTAATTGAGAATGGACCAAATTCCAAGGCTGACTTCCAGGTCCAAGGTTGATTCCCAGGTCCCAGGTGGGTGCAACTTCCAGCAGGGTTAGAATGTCCTTTCTTTAACTAGACCAAGGCAATCATGGTAAACAGAGCATGATTAATGTTTCCTATAACTATAGCTAGTCCCTAATATTCTATTTTTGCCTCTAACAGAAATGCAATCAGTTCAACCCCCTTCCCACATACAAACATAAACAGAGTAAAACAAAAATCCCTCCAGCTACCTTTAGCAAAAACCCAAAAGGCCCTGTAACACCTGACTCCTGCCCAGTCTCTTTAGCCTATTTCCACTTCCTTTCCACTCCCATGCTGCTGCCATACTAGTTAGTCTTCTGTGCATTGCCCAGGCCAGACTCTCTTCAGTTCTAGCCTTCCCTAGGCCTGGAGAGCTCTGTCCCTGCCTAACCAGGTACAATACATCCCTAGCCAAAGGCTGCTCTTTAAGTACATCACATTCAGATTTTTTCATAGGTCTACATTCCTTACTTTCAAAGTACTAGATTCACTGAACACAACCTATTTTAAGGATCATTTCCTAAGGTCTGATTTGCCTATAGATTTTTAAATGCTTTTTTAAAAAATAAATCTTTGTTGTTGAAAGTATTACATATGTCCCCTTTTCCACCCGCCCCCCCATTGCCCTCTCCCCCAAGCCTTTACCACCCCACTGTCTGTGTCTATGGGTTATGCATATAAGCATATGAGTTCATTGTTTGATCTCCACCCCCGTCCACCCTCCTCTGCCTTCCCCCCGAGGTTTGACAGTCTGTTGGATGTTTCTATGTCTCTGGGTCTATTTTTGTTCATCAGTTTATGTTGATCATTATATCCCATATATGAGTGAGATCATGTGATACTTATCTTTCTCTGACTGGCTTATTTTGCTTAGCATAATGCTCTCCAGGTCCATCCATGCTGTTGCAAATGGTAGGAGTTCCTTCCTTTTTACAGCAGCATAGTATTCCATTGTATAGATGTGCCACCATTTTTTAATCCACTCATCTGCTGACGGGCACTTAGGCTGTTTCTAAATCTTAGCTATGGTAAATTGCGCTGCTATGAACATAGGGGTGCATATATTCTTTCTGATGGGTGTTTCTGATTTCTTGAGATATATTTGTGGAAGTGGGATCACTGGGTCAAATGGTAGTCTCATTTTTGATTTTTTGAGGAAACTCCAAACTGTTTTCCACAGAAGCTGCACCAGTCTGCATTCCCACCACCAGTGCACCAGGGTTCCCTTTTCTCCACATCCTCGCCAGCACTTGTCCTTTGTGGATTTGTTGATGGTAGCCATTCTGACAGATGTGAGGTGGTACCTCCTTGTCGTTTTGATTTGCATCTCTGGGATGATCAGTGACTTCGAGCACTTTTTCATACGCCTTTTGGCCTTGTGTGTGTCCATTGTGGAGAGTTTGCTGAGGGTACAGCTGCCAGTTTCCTTCATAACCTAGCTCACTCCAGACCCAGAGGAGGACAGTAACCACTGAATGAATGAGTGAAGGAATGAGCCAGCAAACGAATGAACAAATGCAGGAAAGGGGATAAAATGGAATGGACTGCACATTCTCAAAAAGTTGGCTACTGACTTTTGTTATTAAGTAGTCCCCAAACACTCTGGGTCATTTTCCGTGTCCCCCCTCCCCACCCCCACCCCCATTTTTTAACAGTTCGGCTTGGCTTGGTGTGTTTTTTTTTCTCTTTTCAAGTATAATGGAAGGCAGGCGCGGCCACCCTTCAAAGGGGCGATCTGCTCAGATCTGAGATCCACACACCGGCCTGAGGGACGGCGGGCGGGCGGAAGTGCGGAGCGGGAGCGCCCGGTTGGCGCTGGGTCTCTCTGGCGGGCGGAAGTGCGGAGCGCAGGGCGGAAGCGGCGGCTCAGGCGGAAGCGGCGGCTCAGGTGGGTTTCGGTGACCCCCCCCCTCCTCCCCCCCAGCCTCGCAGGCCCCTGCACTGAGCCTGACGCGGGCGGGAGCGGGGCGCAAAGGAGCCCCCTGGCTGTGCCGCACGCGGCCAATTTCCAGTGTCTTAGGAGAGACTTTAATTAAACCGGGAGCCATAAATCCATGAACCACCAGAGGGGGTGCAGGGATTGTAAACGTGTGTGTATGTGTGTGTCTTCTCGCGGGTTGGCGCTCTGGGAAGTGAACAAAATAACGGGCGAGAAAAGGCAGCTTTTTAAGAGGAAGCAGGAAACATTTCAACTTCGTGCTATTTACAGTGATTCACAGAGGACCCGTCCTCGGTTTAATTAACGTCTATGAAATGGCAGTATAATCTCCACGGGCAGGCTGCTGAGATGACTCTTGATTAAAATAAATATGTTTGAGCAACCATGCCGACCTTTATTGGGGGTGAAAAGGTTGAAAGATGCAATTGGGAACATTGGGAACCCAATACTCTCTGGACCTCCTCTCCGCTTTATTGGGCAAACGCAGCCCGCTGGGTGCTGGGCAGTGAGATGATAAATCGGAGACTGTACAGTTCTCAGCAGATAGCCTTGTCGGTTACCCCCGACAGATACCAGCTCATGCAATTTTTTAATCAGAAGTAGAAAAGTTCCATCTACATTGTTACTAACGTGAAAAGGCAAATGCCTGTTTCTAAGTCTATCTTTAACAAAAACTAACAAGGAGTTTTTGGCCTGGGTGATCTTTATTCTTGTTTCTTTCTTTTATAAAATTTATCTTTGTTAATTTTGTTTCTTAATAGAAAGTTCTATATAATACTTCATATTTTAGAGCACTTTTTAAAAAATTCACAGTATGGCCCAAGATTTTCAGCTTCTTTGGGGTAGCCATAGTGTCTGGGATCTGTCATTCCCCAACCCTTTTAGCACATTTACTAACGTAAGCAGGGCTTCTATAACTACACAGCCACTAGAGCCATGTCTCCAGTGTGCATGACACTGCAAGTTGAGGTGGCTCTTAGAGCCACATTCTTCTCACTTAGTAATTATCTGAGGAATAGCTTATGAACATGTATATGATGCTCTCTACCAATATTTGAAGCTGTATACATTGAGATTTAAAACATTTGGGGAAAGAGGTATACCCTGGAAATAGTGAATGATTATAGCAATATTGGAGTAAGGAATTGCCTGGAACCTGTCATGAAAATTAAAATTGGTTCTGTCGTGAAAATTAAGATTGGTGGGGTAGGTACTTTAGACAGGTAGACTCTCAGATTTCTTTCTTCATGCTTCCTGTGGTCAGTAGTAGCCTCCTGCCAAGGAAGGATCAATATTTTTTGTCTCCTTCACCAGAGGAAAATGTGGCTATGTGGTTTTATTTAGATGGACTGATGGCAGGTAAGGTAATAGAAATGAGGATTTTCCAGCTTAGGAATTTATTGGACTGTATTTCTACTTTATTCCAGATGCCTGACTCTATTGTACTCTTAAGCACCCAGAGGCAATGTGGAGATATGTCTTCAGAAAATAAGTTATTTTTTATTATTAAAGTTTTTATTTCATAATGTGTGCATACTTTAGCTGGCTTATACTCTATTGCTAGGGCTCCAGGTTCCACATGTTAGCATGATGGTGCTCTGGTACAGGTAGTAAGGTTTTTTATGTTCCTTATTTTAAATCTAATCTTGCCACTGCTTAATTCAAGGAGTGTACATCAGAGGAAGCCAAAAGCCAGCTGGAACAGTCCCTGCATGCAGTTTTAATATTGTTTGCAATTATTTTGAAGGGGAGAAACCATCTGGATCCTGAGATGTGTCGCTATACAGATAGCAGGGACTAGTGAGCTTACTTCGTTCTTCCCCTAGTTAACATGTTTGAGGGACAAAATCATTTACGGAAGAATATGCAAAATAAAAGGTTTTGGCTAAGTTTCTCATAGGTATTATCCCATATCTCTAACTCCCTATCCCAGTTATAGCCACAGGGAAACTGGAGGTATAAAAACATTACTTATTCTCTTTTTATTTCAGTTCCTACCCAAAATAAGGTTTCCAGAGATAGAGGCAAAACTCAGAATACCTTCTATTTTAAGGAAGTATCCATCTCCAAGGATTTCAGAGCATTTCACCAGTAATACATAGTAGCAACCATTTTGGCTGCTGTAGGCTTCATCACTGCGGTATTGTGTTATTTGTTTGTAAAACTTTTCTCTGCCCAAGGTGTGAATTCCTTAAGGGCATGGAAAGTATCCTAATCGCTTTTATATTTCTAGTACGTGGCACAGTGCCTGGCAATTGCAGACACTCACTATATGCTACCGAAATAAAAAGACAGTGTGAAAACATCATTGGGAATGCAGCAAGGTAGAGAAAAGAATATCAAACAATAACTTTAAGGGGTTACTAGATGCAGTTATAAATGCTGCAGTCATTAATACTTTAATAACCAGCCTGGAATGGGGAAAGGCATATTTGAGAATCCATACATATGGTCACCAAACTGCCTTCCAGGGAGATCTGGCCTGTCAGTTGCAGGGCCGTTGTTGTTTAGAATGGAATATGCAAGCTGAAAGGCTTCACCAGCCCTGTCTCCACCCTCCCTCCACCCCTGCCATGCTCAAATCCTCACCCAAACACTTGTTGAGTGAATGAATATTTGAATAGTATCCATTTGAAGATATATCAAATTATTAGCTTACCTAGGGCACTCATATCTTAGTTTGGTCCTGCCTTAAGGATAGAAGACCTATATATGGTGGCTATTTTAAGTCTGGGTTGCCCAAATAACACTGAAGGAAAGCCACAATCATCTTTTCTACTTCACTAACATTCTGGAGGAGTTCAAAATCAACTTTTTTGTGTTGTAATTGGGCAGGCATGTGGTATTTGTTGCTTCTTTTTTGCCAGTAAAATTGCAGCAGAAATCAGAATGTTACTGGAAATAAATGAACTCCCTCTCATTGTTCCTATTCTTTTCATATTAATCATGAAATAATGGGGAAATGTCAGGAGGAAAAACATGAGGTTGAATTATTTGATTTTTTAAAAACATGTAGTTCTTCCAGTCAACCAAGAGAAAGGATACTGTTATTTAATAGAAATTCAGTAAGCAGCTTAGGACATAAGACTGAAAAAAAAAAAATCCAAAATTTAGCTTTGTTTCTCCAGATTCAAAAATAAAGCTAATCTGAATGTTTTTAGGCTTAGAGATCAGAACCTCATTCTTACAGTAAAAAAATTCTGCCATCCAAAGCTGAGATTTTCCTCATTCTCTCCTTCCTTAAATTAGGCTTAAACAAATGTGGTATCTGTTATTGGTATACTCTGAGGATTAATATATAAAGCTTTTTGAAATTTTTTTTAAAGAAAGGGGAGTGAACTTAGAGATCCCTTTTAATTCTGAAAATTGTTTGTTGGTCTCATTATATATAAAAATAGGTCATTGTTCAAGGAGAAAATATAGAGAAATGAACAAACAAATGCAGTATGGAAGGCTTTGATTAAACATTAGCTTCTTTATCCATTAAGCAAAGTCACTTCCTAGTTCCAAAATATTTTATCAGTGTTAGCTGTTAAGTAACAGAATAGGATTCAGAGGATTAGAATTCATGTAACTGAGGGTTGCTAGGGCCTGACCTCAAGAATGCTTGGTTTCCAACATTCGAATTGACCACTGTACTTCACAGGCCTACGTATTGTTGGTATCACACGTACAAGAAAATGTTAGAGTTAGTAATTAAAATGTTCCAAAGTCATTTGCTACAAAATGGCTAAAAATAAATGGAGCATCTTTCAGGTCTTGTGTGGTCATGAGAATAACTTTGCCTCTTGGGCAAGATGAATTGGAAATGGAGTGTCAGTGATGAATGGAAGACATTGCCTGAGTGGACAGATTCTGAATGACAAACAGTTGTTTTTGGAAATAGGATTGTGTGCTTTTTAAACAGCAAAGAAACTGGCATTACTAGCTGGGTACAAATAAGACTAAGATGTTTTCAGGAAATTGCCTTCTTTCTGGGCAGTATTCAGTGGCAGAAATATCTTCAAAGGGAATGGGTCATTTTGGTTAAGAAGGATAATGTGGGAAGCAGTCTGCATAATTCCTTATGCTCTTTGTTCTCATCCCTTGAACTAGAATGATTTTACCCTCATCTTAATGCTATCTTTATGGAATGAAGAAATTTTCAAATTGGTTTTTAAACTCTATTAAGCCCTCATGTATGATATAGCCCAACCACATTATTCAGGTTTTCTTGGCTTTCAGACACAGCTTTGCAGCCATTATGTCATAATTGTACTGAACATTGTTGCACACTGAATTCAGGATATGCCTCTCTGGCTCCAGGCCAGATGCTGAGTCAGTGTCTTTGGGGTTGAAGATAAGGGGAAGGGTGTAATATGTGCAAGCCCTGTGTGTTAACAGGAATTAGTCCAGGATCCCCTTTAGACCTCTGGGGGCAAGAGAGAGTATATAGTAACAGTACATTACTGTTCTTAATTGGTATCTGTATTTTTCTCAGCTGAATGTTTTTCTGGAAACCCTTCCCTGACATTGTAATTTGCACTAACCCCATTACTGAGTAGACCCCTCTGAAGCAATGATCTGGAAAGTGTGACTACTAAGGTCCAAAGATTCTAAAACAAACTTTTGCCTACACTAAAGATTCCTTCCCCTTCCACTCAGTATTTGTCAGCTTGCTCTAGGCCTAGGCAAACACAGCACTGCTTCTGGATAGGGAGGAGAATGACAAGATGATGATGGTCTGCCATTAAATATCACTTAAAAAATAAATATAATTAATGAAGGGCTGATGCCAACACCTCTGACTTCAGGAAAAGTTACTTTGATGCCTAATCCAAAAGCAATTGTAATACATAAAATTAAAACTTTTAAAAAATCTTTATTGATTTCAGAGAGGAAGGGAGAGGGAGGGAGAGAGAGAGAGAGAGAAACATCAATGATGAGAGAGAACTATTGACCAGCCGCCT